AAGTTTCATGTAGTAGTAGCTTTTGTGCCTGATATTGGTTAATATCTAATGGGGTGTCCAGATACCATGAGATTTATTTTTAATCAATATGTTTCTTTTTTTGCGGTAATTTGGACTTTCGCTTCTATCATTCTGTGGTCACTACTTGTGGTGAACTTGTTGAGTACTGTTACATTTTTAATTATTTTTTCACTTATGATGTAGTTCTCTATCATTTCTTCCTGGGAAACCGAATTTTCACAAGGATATTTCTAGCTCTGCTGTTTATACACCTATTTTTGCGTTGAAATCGCTATATAGAATTGTAAATTAAGTACGAGAATCATTAAGCGCAGTAGATATATCGTCATAAAATTTTGAGTTATATCTACTAATTTTCATGATAATGGTGAATTATAATTTTGAGTTGATATCTAGTGTTCAACTTTAAAATAAGATATTTATGCCACTCTAGATGATATCCTTTGGATATTTATTATCTTGTTCAAGTAGTTTTTATGGACAAAAAAACCTATTCCTCTAACTGATGTAGTTTTAGGGCCAGTCTGATAGAAAATACGACCTGATTTCAGTGTTTTTAAAGTCTAACCTTTCTTTCTAACTTCGCTGGTATCTATGATATCCTATTTAATTTTATTCATTTTAGTTTCCATTTTTGTGAATCTCTCCTCGGACAGTAGACTTCTGTGATGGTATGTACTAATGTAAAGAGGTATTGAGTTTTTGGGTTTTCGTAAGTTAGCTTTTTATCCCCCCTCCCCCCCCCTCCAAAATCCTTGGGACAGACTAATAAATCAGTATGGGATTTTGGACGAATCCTACTTACCTAAGGTAAAGCTGTATTTGTTTAAAAATTTGACATAGCGGTTTTAAGGAGTATACTGGCATTTAAAAAACCACGCTTGTCAGACGGGTTGGTGAGTGTTCGCATTATCACAGCTGGTTAAATCAACTTGATTGTCGCCTGTGATTTTATAGTACTGCACCTTTCAGGAATTGATTCCTCAGCCATGAGCTACTAATGACACAGCTGCTGACCTGTGTCATGTCCTCAGTTTTGGATATTTATTTGGCTAAGCCTTATCCGTACCTGTCCTGCATATCTACAAGAACTTTCCTATCAGACATTGGGACGCGCCGTGTTGGGGTTGAGGACTGCCCCGCCAAGTATGTCTTGCGCAAAGTACTAAAGGACCCCTATTAAGTTCAAAGTCCATCCTTTACGCAAGCTGAGACCGACACGGCTTTTGTAAAGTTACGCGCGAGAAAACAATTTTAAATATATGTTGCAATAACGCGACGGTAAAAATTCGATATTTTTTAATTAGTGTCCTATTGAGAAAAGTCAAAGTTAGTTTTAAAGGTGAAGGGTGCATCTTTCTGATTTCGTCTTTTTATTTTGCTGCAAATAAAATGAGTTTCTATAAAGCTAATAAATACATAAGCGTTGCGCAATTTTGGACATTCTTTAAGACTTTTATTAGATCAACAAAAGTATCATGCATTTGAAATATGTCTAAAAACGCTAAATTTAAACTTTCACATTACAAAAAAAATTCTGGTCACTGGAAATATTTCCACTAAGATGGTATTAAATGAAATTTATAACTGAGGTTATGTTGTTTTTAAAAACTTACTTAAACAATTAAAAAAGTAGCTTAAACTGTATTAGTAGATGTTTTTTAGAGGTATAGAAATTCGAAATAAAATAAAACAAAGATGATTTTGTTAAATTGACATGAAATTAGCTATATTCAAAAGATAATATTTTGGCATTATAATTTACATATAGTTTCTGGCATCTGACTGTCACGGCCGGCTCTGACGAAGTCTAATCCAGAGGTCCAATTTTCGATGAATCTTTCCATTTGCGGTCGTATATCGGTAATAACGCGGCGAATGTTGTTGTCTAAGTAAACAATCGTTTCAGGCTTATCCGCGTAGACTAGCGACTTTACATATTCTCAAAAAAATAGGTCTGGCGGTGTTAAATTGCACGATCTTGGAGGCTAATTCACAGGTCCGAGACTTGAAACTATGCGGTTAATAAACATTGCTTTTGATAAATTAATTGTGGCACGAGCTATGTGATATGTTACATATGTTATTGGACAGCTACTGCATACCATACTTGTTTAATTGAGAATTGACAAAGTGGCTCTACAGCGGTCACTATCGACTGTAACGTTCTGATAAGTATGGTTTTTGAAGAAGTACGGACAAACAGTCAGTTTTTTTAGATGTAATTGTGTCGTAGCATAATATTAGACGTTATCTTTACTTCAAATTCGGCAGTTTTATTTGTTGACATAGCCATTTACCCAGAAGTGACCTTCATCGCTAAACAAAACTTTCTTATGAGAATCAGGATCAAAAGCAATCTCGTTTTTAACCCCTTTTACAGAATCTACGCCTTGCTAGATAATCACATAGCAAGAAGAGGATAACTTGGAAGTATTGGCAGATTTATTGAACACGGTGTACGATACGGGAATAATACCACAAGAGTGGCTGAAGTCAGCATTTATAACCATCCCTAAAAAACAAGCAACAACAGAGTACTCTGCTTATCGAACACTGAGCTTCATGAGTCATGCTTTAAAAAATCTGCTAAAAAAAAATACATAACAGAATATACGAAAGGCTAGAGGAGGATATTAGCAAGACGCAGTTCGTATTCCGAAATGGAATGGGTACTCGAGATGGACTATTTGCCATCAACATATTGATTCAGCGATGTCAAGATGTAAACTTTGTACTACACTTGTGCTTCGTTGACTACGAAAAAGCTTTCGATAAAGCAAGACATGAAAAACTAATATCAATACTTATGAACAAGCGAATTGACAGACAGTACAATCATAAATATAGTGCAAACACTATATTGGAACCAAAGTGCCATAGTTTAAATTGATGGGCAACACTCAAAAGAAATGAGGATCTGTAGAGGAGTTAGACAGGGATGTGGTTTATCACCCCTTTTGTTTAACTTATATTCGAAAGACATTTTCCAAAACACGCTCAATAATATCGAAGCGGGAGTCATCGTTAACGGAAAATTAATTAACAACTTAAGATATGCAGATGACACAGTGATTACAGCAACGAGTATGGAAGATCTAAAACATCTTATCGAAAGTTTGAGTATGAATAGTGTTGAGATGGGAAATACTATTTATAAACGCTAAAAAAACGAAGTACAAGCTAATTAAAAAAAAAAAACAAAATATACATCACCTATTGACAACCAATGGTAACGTGATAGAACAAGTAGAAAAATATCAGTATTTGGAAACTTTTGACCAATGAAACCAATGATCATACTGTAGAAATAAACAAGCGAATAGAAATTGCCAGATTAGAATTTATACGAATGAAGGCACTCCTAACGTGCAAAAATCCAAATTTGGAGATCAGACTACACACCATTCGCTGTTATATATTTTCAATAATATTATATGAAGCTGAGATTTTCACATTAAAAAATGTAATTTAAAAAGAATCGAGGTCTTAGAACTCTGGTTATACCACAGAGTATTGAAAATATCGTGGACTGATAGAATTACAAATAAAGAAGTACTGGAGAGGGTTGGTAAAAAAACAGAACTAATCACCACTATACAAACCAGAAAACTGGAATAAGTAGGCCACGTGATGAGGGGACCAAAATATAAAATTTTGAGACTTATAATACAGGGAAAGATTTAAGGAAGAAGATCTGTTGGCCGAAGGCAGAACTACTGGTTAAATAATCTACGTGATTGGTATCAATGCAGATCGATTAATTTGTTTAGAGCAGAAAGTTCTAAAATAAAAATAGCCATTATGATTTCCAACCTTCGTAGGGAGACGGAACTCTAAGAAGATAATCAAATAGTTTTAATTCTTGCACAAGTTGTATTATGTAAGTACGCAAATTAAGATCTTTATGCAAAATCTTCCGCAGAGCTGATGGACACATATCCAACTGCTGTGCACAATGACAGATATACTGATTCGGGTCTTCCTGTATGCTACGCTCTACATCAACAACAACTTATAAACACACTGTACGACGTCACTATAGATACGTATTATCATTTAGAGTAAACATGATGGAAAAAAGTTTCCTGGTTAATCAAATTAATTGGTCTGATCGAATTTATATTAACCATAAAATGAACATAGCGCGAGATACATATTTCGAATAATTTTCAAAATAAATGTGCACAATTCGGAAATTTTGTTCAGAGGTCAGTCTATTTATGCTTAAGTTCCAAACTCAAATAAACATAAATCACTTGACAGCTGTCAAAATAGCTGCTGGTTAAACAAGTGTTGTACATCGTTTGTGTAATGTGAAAGTTTAAATTTAGCGTTTTTAGGCATATTTTAAATCCCTCGTATTTATGCCAAAACTTAAAGTTTTGATAATAAGTTTTGAAGAGTAGCCTTTAGCAATGGAAATTTTATTGCCTTAAAGTAAACTTTTAATTACAGTTATACATCATAATGATCGTAATATGTATTTATTTTATAGCTTTAAAACACTCTAATTAAATGATATGGAAGTTTTACCGCCAATTCGATACAATTTTTATTTAATATACTGATTTCGTGCGCGTAACTGACATTTTTAAGTCACCGGCATGTTCAATCGTTGTTTCTGAGAAACGGTTTATTCTACAAAAAAACAGTTAATACATTTGTTTTCCTTAAAATTATCTCAGCTACATTTCTTATTTAAAACTATATTTTCTGATACTTACAAGTTATTGGTACATTGATGTATTCCGTTTATTTCCTTCTATGAGGGGGGTTTTTGGAAAATGCCTAGGTAGGAGTGGCCAACTCTTAGGTAACTTTTTTGGCGTCCCAAAATGACATTCTCAGCAAAATTTAGCTTGTTGGTATGATTTTTAGAGGGTCCATTGCATTCTTTTCTTTGACGACTGGAGTATTTTATTTCAGTGTATGCAAACCGATACTTCATGACGTTAATATTTTTTAGGGACCATAAAATGCAACAATTAAAAAGAATGGGCGTTGGATCATCAGGTGAAGAAGATCAAGGACATTCTGGTATGTGTAAAAATACAATTTGAGACATAAGATGACTAATAAAACAGATACAGTTTAGCTTTAGTTTACTTTAGAATTTTAGTGTATAATATTCTTAAATTGTTTGACTTAATATAAAAAGTATAACAAAATACCGTTTGCTTGGCTCAGTTATCTATCAGATTCATTGAATAAATGTTGTCTACTTTAGTGTACACCTACATTGGAACCGTATTTCTCCCGATCCGATATCGGGCGACGTCGGCCGACGTCGGATTAAAAACAAACTCAAGGTATTAAATCATAGTCTTTGAGGGTATACAAGGCAACTATCGAACACGGTGATTAATTTAATCTTGCCCAAGTACTTTCGATCTATAGATCATCTTCAGGGGCATCTGAAATAAGCCCAGAAACGTTTTTTATAAAAAGGAAAATTAATTCACTTGGATAAAATACTCCAAGTTTATGGTTGAAAAAAATTTTTATATGTGATAAACGTTTATAGACTTACTTCGTCAATTGTGGCCTATCCGACATAGTAGAATGTTATAAATGTAAAATTTGGACATAACAATACAAAATACAATACACTAAGACAAACAAACACTTTAAAATTTATATGGAGAAGCTACATATTGTATAGAAGCCGAAGACAGAATGGGCTCCCGGTCTGACGGAAATGTAGAGATGACATGTGACAAATGACAGCTTATGAAGGGCAGTTATGTGATCTGCACCTTTCAAAATTCTATGACACTAAGTATTGACCAAAGGTCCAACTGACACCACTATAGGAAATCGACTGATGAAATATAAAATTATATAGTATATTTTTTATGTAGATTGATCTCACACTCAAACCTGTCTATAATAATTAGGATGTTGGTTTGAGAGCAATTGAAGTTGACATAAAGTATGAATGTGAGAAAAGACTAACAATATATAAGATAGTGGATGGTTGACTACAATAAAATGGTCCACCAAGCGCTATCAGTACTGTAAAAAAGAAAAATCTGAATATGCAGTTAAATTACTAAAAGTTAAAATCAAAATTGAAGACAAAATATATAAATGTGTTATAGTCCACGTAGTTCAGTTAAATCCACAGTCAATGGAAGAACTTTAAAATTAATATTGAAATATTCATTGCATGAAGTCTAAACAGTCGAGCTGGGTCCTCTACGAGGTGAAGCTGTAATAAAGTTTTTAAATATAGGATTAAATTTAGTACAATTTAAATTAATTTGAGTATTAAGACAGTGAGAGTGTTCATTTGTTTCCCTTGTAATCTCCAAATCTTCCAATAAATCCAACTCAAGATAGTTTTTCTTTCTGCTAATGTCATGTAAGATAGATGAACCAGAATTGATGTTAAAATTGTGGTTGCTGGATACTAACTGTTGACCAAAACTTGAAGAATTTGGTCTTTTCAAATGTTCAGAGACTATAGTGAATAACTTTCTGATGGTTCTACCTACATAAGATACATCACAATCATCACATTTTAATTTGTAAATACCACTTTTATCAAGTGTATTCATCCTATCTTTGGTATTGATTAAGAAGGAACCTAAAGTGTTATGTGATTTAAAGGAAATTTTGATGTTATCAATTGTAGAAGAAAAAAGTTTAGATATTTTATTGGAAATGCTACTAATATAAGTGAAGGAGAAATATCTGATAATATCTGAAGCATTCGGTTGGGAAAACTGTGAAGAATATGCAAGCTTTTCTGCAATTTTTAGTTTAGCTCTATTTAGAAGTTTGTATATAATGTTGGGATCATAGCCATTATTGAAAGCAATCTGCTTAAGAATATTAAGTTCTGTATTGAAATTATCATCAGAGAGAGGAAATTTAAGTAACCGATGAATGTAACTGTTGAAAGCAGCATTCATCGGTTACTTAAATTTCCTCTCTCTGATGATAATTTCAATACAGAACTCAATACTCTTAAGCAGATTGCTTTCAATAATGGCTATGATCCCAACATTATATACAAACTTCTCAATAGAGCTAAACTAAAAATTGCAGAAAAGCTTGCATATTCTTCACAGTTTTCCCAACCGAATGCTTCAGATATTATCAGATATTTCTCCTTCACTTATATTAGTAGCATTTCCAATAAAATATCTAAACTTTTTTCTTCTACAATTGATAACATCAAAATTTCCTTTAAATCACATAACACTTTAGGTTCCTTCTTAATCAATACCAAAGATAGGATGAATACACTTGATAAAAGTGGTATTTACAAATTAAAATGTGATGATTGTGATGCATCTTATGTAGGTAAAACCATCAGAAAGTTATCCACTAGAGTCTCTGAACATTTGAAAAGACCAAATTCTTCAAGTTTTGGTCAACACTTAGTATCCAGCAACCACAATTTTAACATCAATTCTGGTTCATCTATCTTACATGACATTAGCAGAAAGAAAAACTATCTTGAGTTGGATTTATTGGAAGATTTGGAGATTACAAGGGAAACAAATGAAAACTCTCACTGTCTTAATACTCAAATTAATTTAAATTGTACTAAATTTAATCCTATATTTAATAACTTTATTACAGCTTCACCTCGTAGAGGACCCAGCTCGACTGTTTAGACTTCATGCACTGAATATTTCAATATTAATTTTAAAGTTCTTCCATTGACTGTGGATTCAACTGAACTACGTGGACTATAACACATTTATATATTTTGTCTTCAATTTTGATTTAAACTTTTAGTAATTTAACTGCATATTCAGATTTTTCTTTTTTACAGTACTGATAGCGCTTAGTGGACCATTTTATTGTAGTCAACCATCCACTATCTAATATATTGTTAGTCTTTCCTCACATTCATACTATATGTCAACTTCAATTGCTCTCAAACCAACATCCTAATTATTATAGACAGGTTTGAGTGTGAGATCAATCTACATAAAAAATATACCATATAATTTTATATTTCATCAGTCGATTTCCTATAGTGGTGTCAGTTGGACCTTTGGTCAATACTTAGTGTCATAGAATTTTGAAAGGTGCAGATCACATAACTGCCCTTCATAAGCTGTCATTTGTCACATGTCATCTCTACATTTCCGTCAGACCGGGAGCCCATTCTGTCTCCGGCTTCTATACAATATGTAGCTTCTCCATATAAATTTTAAAGTGTTTGTTTGTCTCAGTGTATTGTATTTTGTATTGTTATATCCAAATTTTACATTTATGACATTCTACTATGTCGGATAGGCCACAATTGACGAAGTAAGTCTATAAACGTTTATCACATATAAAAATTTTTTTCAACCATAAACTTGGAGTTTTTTATCCAAGTGAATTAATTTTCCTTTTTATAAAAAACGTTTCTTGGCTTATTTCAGATGCCCCTGAAGATGATCTATTGATCGAAAGTACTTGGGCAAGATTAAATTAATCACCGTGTTCAATAGGTGCCTTGTATACCCTCAAAGTTTAATTATTCGAACATTCAACCTTATATTTATTGGTTAAATCATAGTGCCTATACTGCTTCCGTGACGAAGCACTATAGGCACTCTGATTTAATAACTTAAGTTTGTTATCAATCCGACGTCGGCCGACGTCGCCAGACATCGAATCGGGAGAAATACTGTTCCAATGTAGGTGTACACTAAGTCTTATTTTTTATTTACGGTTTCTTATATCGTATATACTGATAAGATAACAGAAAAGAAATGCCATCTACTGTTACTTAATATATTTACAAAAATAAAATTTACGTCGTAGAATAATGACATCACCTCATTTCTTCTGTTATGTTGTTATTTCAGACGTCTACTCTATTGAGTTGAATTTTTTTATTTATTCAGGTTTTTGTTAATTAGTTATGGTGTATGGTGTTTTTTCTTCGCTAAGTTCCTTTTTTTTTGTTTTTAAAACTTTCTGTTGTTTAACACTTTGAACTCCATGCCCCCATGTGTATTAAATCATATACACAAAAAAAACTTCACATGAACCCGTGCTTATTTATCTGATACACCCTAATATCCAATGAAGATATGTGTTCATCAGCTAAGCGCGCTAACTGTGCATTTATATGGATATTTCAATAGACTTGGGCTGTAGTGACTTTTAAGTTCAGTTCGAAATTTAAGGAAATAATTCGGCAACAGTGGTGCATAAAGTGCTTTAAGTAAGAGAACTCGAAATAAAAACTAAAAATTTAACTGAATTTGAATTTGAAGACGATGATGTTCCCTGGTATTTGGAGAGTTCAGGTAATTCTGCTGAACAAGTATATAAAAACCAAAACTTTCGAATCGTAAAACGTCAAAATATTATGGGGTATGTCAGACACTACATATTTATGTCTTATGACTATTTTGGAAAATACACCAATTTTTAGGTTAACGTAAATCAAATTAGAAATTTGAACTGTGGGACTTTGGAATCTGAAGAAATAAAGTAATCAAAATGTCAAAGTATTTAATTCTACAAGTTCAGAGGTATGCTGACTTTGAAGTTAAAATTAAACTTATAATTTTTTTAGGTCAGAAATTTTTTAGTGAAAAGGCAGACTTGGATTCTAAAGAAGTCTTTACCCAAATTAGGAAATGTATTGAATGATGTTGGTAATTTGAATGTTTTCCGCTTCAGCAAACTTTGAATGTTATACATCGTCAAGATGATAGTAATCTTTCATTTTATAAACTTCTATTGACAGAAGATATACTTGATCTTTGGTAACCGAAACCAATAGTTATACCGAACAACAAATTATTAATGGTATCATCAATGAATCAGTAACACGAAATTCTTTTCTAATTAATTGGACTGATACAAATAAGAAAGAAGTTATAACATTTTTGGGCATACTCATATGGATTGGCCTAAATCCAAAACAAAGATTAAGAGACTATTGGAGTACAAACTTTTTTCATAAATATTCCATTTATCAAAGTACACAAATGACAAGAAATAGATTTGAGCCACTCTTGACTTCTCTTCATTTTTCAAATAATGAACTATATCCCGAAATTAACCACCTTTTCAAGTTAAATACATTAGTAGATACATATTTATAATAAAAATTTTCAATCCGCTAATTCTCCAGGGGAGTACGTTTGCATCCACGAATCAATAGTTCCATTTCGTGGAAGGTTATCATCTTTACAGTATAAACCGGGCAAACGACACAGATACAGGATAACAAAATATAAGTTATGTGTACAAGGAAGATATACATTCAACATAAAAATCTACGCTGGAAAGCAACAAACAATAATTGATCAGCCTGTTTCCAGCCAAGTTGTAATGGAATCGAAACAACTTTTTTTAATAGTGGTAGAACATTAGTAACTCGACAACTACTATACAAGCGTTGGTTTAGCCCATTTACTCAACGATAATAACATTCATTTGATAGGGACGCTGCGAAAACATATAAAATATAATCCAAAAGTGATCCTTGAGAAAAAAACTATAGAGAAGGGACATTCTTCTTCGAGTGCCTCTCATATCGGAGATTGAATATCATTATGGCGATTCTAATTTTATTAACTGCTGGTTTTAATAATTCGTTAGTAGTACAGCCAAACCACTTTCTTAAATTACTCATCCAGGACATTCTTCTACGGTCTGGATTTCTGCGTTTTTGGATTTTTCGTTGCATTATATTTTGTAGCAACGTGTACTTTTGTCCTCTCATCAGGTGGCAAGTATTCAAGTTTTCTCTTTTTTATATTCATAATAACTTCTGGATCGTTATTTATTCTGCGTATTACCTCTTCATTTGTAATTTTATCCACCCAACTTATTTTTAGTATAAGGCGATAGCACCACATCTCAAAGTTTTCAAGATTTTTAATATTCCTCTGTTTAAGAGTCCATGCCTCAACACCGTAAAGCAAAGCACTAAATACATAGCATTTTAACATTTAAGTTCGTAGATGAATACTAATATCATGATTACAAAATATTTTTTTACATTTTTATAAAGGTAGACCTGGCAATTTCAATACGTCTTTTTATCTCGTGATTTTGGTCACCTGTTTCATTAATGAGGGTTCCCAAGTATTTGTATTCGCTTAATTTTTCAAGTTGGGTACCGTTTCTTGCGATACTTGTGTCGCGTATTGAATTCTTACTGAAGGTCATATATTTGGTTTTTTTGACATTCATCCTTATGCCGTAGTTACTACATATGTCACTCATAGTTTCAACTAGATGTTGTAGATCTTTCGCTGTTCTTGCCATTATCACTGTATCGTCAGCATATCGAATGTTATTGATAACTTCTCCATTGACTATTATCCCTTCGTCTGCATGTGAGAGAGCTTCTTGGCATATTTGTTCCCTGTAGATATTAAACAAACGCGGTGACAATATACAACCCTGTCGTACTCCTCTACATATTTCTATTTCGTCCGATGTTTCGTCTTCTACCTTTATATTAGCTCGCTGATTCCAGTACAGTGATGCACTGGAATCGGCGAAGAAGGGACATGATAACTCTTAAAAGCAACACAAAAGTTATTGTTGGTAAATGGGTTAACAAAGGAGAAGTTTGTTTTTAACAACCAAATCTTGCCCAGACAAGATTACGGTACAGACACGGACAGGTACCAAAAGAAAACCAAATAAAATTGTAAAATATAATTTCCTTAACTCTTATGTCGATGCTTTGGATGAGATATCAGCTTACAGTAATCCTATCTGCAGATCAATCAAACGGTATCGTAAAGTAGGTATTGAAATTCTTACCAGTATTGCTGTTGTAAGTGCACTAACAATTTTTTTAATGTAACTATGAACACTAAAATGGACATAACTAATAAACACGCCTAAAACATGAATATGCAACAGTATGATAGATGTCACATAAACGCGGAGAATACGACAAACGAGAGCGTTGTGTTGCATGCTACAGGCACTTTTATGAGAGGTACGGAAGAGCTCATGCAACCAAGAATTCTAAGCAGTGTAATTGTTTTTTAAAATATATAATGTTACCGCAGACTAGTTGCTTGCTTCATTTAAACATTAATGTTTAATACAAACATAATAAAAACCCGTGTATCAATTTTAATACATCTAGGCTGATTGGTTGCGAAAACGTGTGTATCGAATTTGAACACAGCCTAAATATCCCTTAAAATACTCAAATATGGCAATATTTTAAATCACTATTATATAGTAAAACATTTTTAGCCGCAACAACAACAAAAATATATCTCGGACTGAGTGGATAATTTTTTTAAATAGGCCCTGGGTGTCAAAGTGTCAAACCATTCGTAGCATTCATCACTAATGTCTTCTATTATTTTGTTAACTTTTTCACAATTATCTCATCCCTAAGCAGATCTTGCTCTTTGCTGTGTTTCCTAAAGAAGTTGAATTTATTGCCGAATAAGATAGAGTAGTTAAAAAAATATCAACTAAAAATATTTCTATGTCTTCATATAAAATTAGGACTTTTTCATAAAACATAAGTCAAACAATTTAGGATTGGCCCTTTAGATAACCTTAAACTCTATTTTTACGAAGGCGAGGAAGAAAATCTGTCCTTTATAGACCTTCAGCACAATAGTTTGAAGCTTCCAGAAAAGAAGGGAATTCTGAAAAAGCACGATTACGGTATTTTGATGATGGGTGATGGTAAGGAGAATTGGGTGAGCAGTGGTGCCAACGACGAGATTATTAGCCAAGTAGATATGTCCCAGTTGGTAAGTGGACCTGGGCCGACGGAAGTGGAGAGGACGTTGAAGACGCTCAACGGGTACCACGAGGATATTATAAAGGCGTTAAGGAACGCTGCTTCCTCTCACAGGTGAATATTTACAGTTTAAGTACTTTTATTCTAGCGATAGTAGTAGGATTTTGTTTTAATTTTAAATGTATTTATGAGATTTTTTTTATAGTTGTCTTATATTTTGTATTTATATTATATACTTGTACACTTTTCTCCATCTAGTATATAACTAATAAAAGACAAAAGACAGAGATTATAGGGACTTACGAATAATAACAAACCTCTACTGGAATCAAAAAACAACAATTGGTAATAGATAACGAAGCCAGTCCTTAAAATGAAATCAGGAGAGGAGCTAGGCAGGGATGTATTATGTCCACATTACTATTTAATGTATATAGTGAAGCCATTTTTAAAGAAGCATTACTATCTTTAAGTGAATCAATAATAATAAACGGAAGATCTATTAACAACATAAGATATGCAGATGACACCATGATTATGGCAAGCTCTAATAAACAACTCTAATCACTGTTAAACAAAACAAACAGTTTCTCTAAAGAATACGGACTAAAAATGAATATATAAAAGACCAAATACTTCTATGTCTTCAGATAAAATTAGGACTTGTTCATAAAACATGAGTCAAATAAATCATGATTGGCCCTTTAGATAACCTTTAACTCTATTTTTACGAAAGAGAGGAAGAAAATCTGTCGTTAATAGACCTTCAGCACAATAGTTTGAAGCTTCCAGAGAAGAAAGGAATTCTGAAAAAGCACGATTACGGTATTTTGGTGATCGGTGATGGTAAGGAGAATTGGGTGAGTAGTGGTGCCAACGACGAGATTATTAGCCAAGTAGATATGTCCCAGTTGGTAAGTGGACCTGGGTCAACGGAGGTGGAGAGGACGTTAAAGACGCTCAACGGGTATCACGAGGATATTATAAAGGAGTTGAGGAACGCTGCTTCCTCTCACAAGTAAATATTTACAGTTTTAGTATATTAATAAGAATATTATAAGAATATTAACAAAGAAACAAATATATCAACATAAATACATTTGGGAAATATACCGAAAGAAAGGGTTGATAAATACAAATACCTAGGAACCTGAATTTCAGACAATAATGATCAAACAACCAAAATATAAGCCAGGATATAAATAGCAAGAGATGCGTTTGTAAAAATGAAACAATTTCCTGCAACAAAGACCTTAGATTAGAATTGAGAGTAAGTGAGAGCGCCCACCAAAGTGGCAGTGACGTCATTCATTCTAATCATTCTTTTTCATTGGTTACATTTTAAGAAACATGCTAAACGCGTGCTACTTGCTACGTGCTACTTGCCACGCCACTTTGGTGGGCGCTTGCCCTTAGGGAGAGCGCCCACCAAAGTGGCGTGGCAGTGGCAAGTAGCAAGTAGCACGCGTCTAGTATAATGTAACCAATCCTAACGAATGATTAGAATGAATGACGTTACTGTCATTTTGGTGTAAACTGAATCATTCGTTTTCATTGGTTACATTATGCTAGACGCGTGCTACTTGCTACTTGCCACTGCCACGCCACTTTGGTGGGCGCTCTCCCTTAGAGCACTAAGATGCTACGTGTTCGATACTGAAATATGGACTTAAAAGCTGGACATTGAAGCAAGAACACATAAATAAATTACAGTCCCTTAAAATGTGGGGTTACAGGAAGTTACAGGAGGATGCTTAGAATAGCATGGACACAGAAGAAAACTAACAGGGAAGTATTGCGAAAAATGGTCAAATAATGCGAATAATAAACACAATAAAAATGGAAAAGTTACAATATCTGGGACATGTAATGAGAGAACAGCAATATGAACTGCTAAGGCTGATAATACAGGGAAGAGATAAGAGGAGAAAGGAGTATAAAAAGGAGGAGAGTGTCATGGTTGAAGAATTTAAGGGACTGGTTTAAATGCATTTCTATAGAATTCCTCAGGGCAGCAGCAGATGGAGTGAAGATAGTGATGATGATAACCAACCTCCGATTGGGAGACGGCATTTAAAGAAGAAGAATATATAAATCCCACAATAAATAAAGGATTCTCCAATTTGCCCACTATTTTCGCAGTATTCTTCTATAAATTAAAACTGGCTAAATTTTTAGGGGGACATCAACTCCTAGTGGTAGCACAAGTGCATTAAGTGAAGAATTACTGAGGAGAAGTTTGGCGCAATGTGCAGAAAGTTACTCAGATTATAAGAGAAGCGGAAGTAAAGAAGACGTTTGTGAGCAGCAGGTGAGAATAGAACTAATATTTAATTTTATTTTAATTATAATTACCTATGATTTTATTTGATTATTTACCTTAAAATTTTGTTGTAAGAACTACCGCGCAACGCCACTTGTTTTATAATGATAAGTGCCAGTTGTGTAAGGTATCAAACCCATTGCGCATGTGCCAATGGATAGCGTTCTCAAGACACGAAGCTCATGGACTCAATCATAATTGAGACATGAATATTTCAAACCAACATTTATTTTAGAATAAACATTATGGTTATTGATCAAGTTAAAATATAAAAATAATATCTACAAAAAAAAAGAATTTCGGTTATTTATATGAGAAAAAAGTATAGTACGCAGATACTAATACTAACTTTAATTAGGGCCAATTAAAGCCAAGTAGAGCCAAAGATTAGTCCAAAAAAGAAAGAACAGCTCATTTTAAATAAATAAATACAAAAAAATTTAAAAAAAAACTCACTGAATAACTAGCTCCAAATATAAAACCCAAATTTTGGCGCATGCACAATGTCTTTGACAACTCGAACAATGGCGACTCACCATCCTTGTCAAATGAGTGGCGTTGCGCGTCAGGTCTCTTTCAATTTATCTTTGATACCTTCCGTTTTTAATAGCTGGTAACACTAATTTGTTTTCATTTTTTCGCAAAGAACCTTATATCATCATATTAAAAAAAAACGCTTTGATACAATAACATGCATAATACGTCTTGAGCGTAAAAAAATTTATCCTTTTAAACCTGGCTAGAAGCAGTTGTCGCCAAGTGAGCACCGGCACCCATAACTTTTTAAATTCTTCACATGCGTTGCTATGATATAGACGATTATGTTTTTAATTAATTACCATTAATATAATTATAACTATTTGCGACCTGTTTGTTTAATTATAACTATTTGTTTTTGACTGGCAACCTGTTATCAATGTATTCTTCCATTCTTAAAAACATATTAGGGATACCAAGTATAAATAGTACTGTAAAAAAAGATCTATTCCTAACTACTTCAACTCTATTCAGAATCACTATCGCACATTCTATCACTATCATTACTGGTATTGTCTACAGTTATAATTAAATAAGTTATTGTTGGAAAATATTTAGTGTATTCTTTTTTCATCCCCATTACGTGATCAATTATATTTTTACAACTTGTCGCTGTAATGTTTCTTACTTCTTCTGCCAATAATTGGAAAACGACCGAAGAATTTTTTTTTTTTCTTTTTACATTTTCTTTTAACTGCGTCCATAATAATTCTATTACATTTAAAATACACAAAATAACAATAAAGTAGTCACAACACAGTATGTCCATTATTGAGAACAGTATCAACAACATATTTTTTTTTAAAACTGGTTACTTTATTAACTCTAATAAATGCTTTTTCGTATATGTCGTATCTTTCTAATAAAAAATTGTTTGGTTTGGGATTTGTTCAAAGTAGAATTCTTCTTTTCCTTTATGTACCATGTCCTTTCAAACCGTTGGTTTCCATCATAGCTATCTTAATGTATTTCACTGCCACCCTAAATAGCATGCTTTTATCAACACCATACCAATCTCAGACGAGTGGTGGGTTCAAATATCGGTCTACTAGGTGGAGAAATAAAAGACAAAGTTGATACTACTTCATCTATTTTGAAGACGTTTCGCTATCGAATTCTGATAGCATCATCAGTTTATCTAAAAATTTTACATTATGAGAACCACACATTCATGAAGAAGATGTTACATAGTTACCCTTAAAAAGACATGTAGTTGTCAATGGTATTAAAAAGTTAGTACAAAAACTCAGATAAATGGACATCATATGGTGATATTGTATAAACAATCAAATAACATTTAGAGACTTAATAAAAATTAGAAAAGCAACAGAACACGTGGTCTAATCTACTTATAATATTTTATATAATATTAACTAATGAAAAAGAACTAAGAAAATCATCGATTCACTTCCAACTATGAAAGTTAAGATGAAGTCATATTATGACTTCATCTTAACTTTTGGTAGCATTATTAAAGTTATCTACATTGAGATATAAAAAATATATATAAAAAAAATTAAATTGAAGTTACCACTGTATGCTTAGCACCTATTGCGGTTGAAATGGCGTTAATTGAAAGATACCGAGCCAATGACATGAACAGACAACCAACCCTGAGGTCGAAAATTCTTCGACAGAACAGCAAGGTTAAGAGTACCAACCCACTATTTTAAGGGCAGTATATTTAAAAAAGTTAACATGAGTTTGAATGATACCCGCCTGTAAGAGACCGAGCAATGAAAGAAATTAGCGATAACGTTAATCCCCTGCATCAACCAGTCTAGAACGAACAGGTAGGCAAAATTCATTCAACTTCATATATAAAAGAGTGAAAAATCGTCAACATTGTAGTTGGATATACAGCTACAGGTGAATGACGATAAGCACCTAATTTCCACAAAAGTCCAAGGTCAAACGCTTGGAACTTTAATTTATAATATATATATTAGAATACCTTATAGGTATTCTAATATATATATTATATGAAGTATAGGTGTATGAAGGTATATGATATATAGGTATATGAAGTAGTATCAACTTTGTCTTTTATTTCTCCACCTAGCAGATCGATATTTCAACCCACCACTCGTCTGAGTGATCCTTATTATATATTGGATAGACGGTCGTACTCCTTGTTGCGATATATATATATATATATATATATATATATATATATATATATATATATATATATATATATATATATATATGTATATATATACATATATATATATATATATATATATATATATATATATATATAAATATATATATATATATATATATATATATATATATGTATATATATATATATATATACATATATATATATATATACATATATATATATAAGGATCACTCAGACGAGTGGTGGGTTCTTATATCGGTCTCTAGGTGGAGAAATAAAAGACAAAGTTGATAGGCTACTTTATCTATTTTGAAGACGTTTCGCTTTCGAGTTTTGAAAGCATCATCAGTTCATCTAAAAAATTATTACAATATGAGAACCACACAATCATGGAAACGATGTTAATTGTTACCTTAAAAAGATATGTAGCAGTCAATGTTATTAACAAATATGTGAATGAAACTAAGTAAATGGACATAGTACGCTGATCTTGTATAAACAGTTAAGCAACTAACAACATATATGAACTCGTACAAAAATTAGCACAGCAATTGACCATGTGGTCCAAAATAAATTCAATGTTATTTATGTTAATAAGTGAGAAAGAACCAAGAAAATCATAAATAACCTCCAACTATTTAATGGATATTAAACTTTGATTTTAACTTTAGGTAGCATTATAAGTAATATTAATAAAATTCTACAAAATAGTGAATATGAAGTTACCGATCAAAGCCTTACGGATGTCGCCGTGAAAATGGCGTTAGATGAAACAGGAACGAACTAACCGCAAAAAGACAGCCAACCTTGAGGTCAAAATTACTTTTGACAGATCAACAAGGTGTAAATACCAACCCAGAATTTTGGGCGGTTAATTTAATTTTTTTATTTTATAACTGAGTCTGGATGACTACCAGGTTGTAAAGGACAACAACAGTGAAAAAAGTTGGTAGTGTACACACAACTCCCCTCACTAACCGGCCCAAATTCACAAACCGGAGATTTGCATTCAAACTCATAATAATGTAATGACGTTAATCATGTGGCAAGTTAAATAGTCAGGTGATTAACGATATTATAATTTCCATACAGCCCAAGGTTCAATATACTTGGAGCTGTGATTTGTAAAGGATTCTATGAATCAATTGCAATGTTTGTATTATTTTATATATAATTTAAAACTCTAATCAAAGAATTTAGTGTAATGAAATGCAATATGGGTTGCATATGTAATAGTAAAATTAAGTAAAGAAATTAAGTTATTTAATTGATATATTTATTTATTTTATTTCTATTTATGTATGTAAATTATTTTATGAAAAGTGGAAAAAAGTTCAACTAGTACACCTAATATGACATTAATGTAGTGAAAAAATTTTGTAGCCTAATTCTGCAAAATTAAAGCATGATATATCTGGCTCAACTTGAGCCAGATATATCATGCTTTAATTTTGCAGAATTAGGCTACAAAATTTTTTCACTACATTAATGTCATATTAGGTGTACTAGTTGAACTTTTTTCCACTTTTCATAAAATAATTTACATACATAAATAGAAATAAAATAAATAAATATATCAATTAAATAACTTAATTTCTTTACTTAATTTTACTATTACATATGCAATCCATATTGCATTTCATTACACTAAATTCTTTGATTAGAGTTTTAAATTATATATAAAATAATACAAACATTGTAATTGATTCATAGAATCCTTTACAAATCACAGCTCCAAGTATATTTGAACCTTGGGCTGTATGGAAATTATAATATCGTTAATCACCTGACTATTTAACTTGCCACATGATTAACGTCATTACATTATTATGAGTTTGAATGCAAATCTCCGGTTTGTGAATTTGGGCCGGTTAGTGAGGGGAGTTGTGTGTACACTACCAACTTTTTTCACTGTTGTTGTCCTTTACAACCTGGTAGTCATCCAGACTCAGTTATAAAATAAAAAAATTAAATTAACCGCCCAAAATTCTGGGTTGGTATTTACACCTTGTTGATCTGTCAAAAGTAATTTTGACCTCAAGGTTGGCTGTCTTTTTGCGGTTAGTTCGTTCCTGTTTCATCTAACGCCATTTTCACGGCGACATCCGTAAGGCTTTGATCGGTAACTTCATATTCACTATTTTGTAGAATTTTATTAATATTACTTATAATGCTACCTAAAGTTAAAATCAAAGTTTAATATCCATTAAATAGTTGGAGGTTATTTATGATTTTCTTGGTTCTTTCTCACTTATTAACATAAATAACATTGAATTTATTTTGGACCACATGGTCAATTGCTGTGCTAATTTTTGTACGAGTT